CCAATCTACACACCCAATATCTAGTAACTCTAAACTTAGAATTCAAAAACCCAAAAACTTGTAATATATATACTTCAGAATTAGTAAACTATCCGCCATTTGTAGGGAGAAAGTGAGTGAGTGAGAGAGAAATTGCAACGCATACATGCTTTATTTCAGTCTTACAACTTTTTCCTCATATCAATAGAACCTCACTCCCATTCACGTCACCCCTGAAAATGGCGGATAAAACAGATTAATCAAGAATTATACATGCTTTGCCTCTCATTAGAAGATCTTTAACTCTCACTCTATAGGATGTAGATTTTTCAAGCCAAAAGTAATTTATAGTTTGCGAAACGAGAATAAAGGAACAAACGACTTCTAAGGAAGAATTTCTATGGAGAAACCTCCCTACAAACATAAGATCATTCAATGAGATGATTTGAGGTCGCTCTTCATTATTCTACACCTTATGGTCGAGAAGAGTACTGCTTTTCTTTAGCGAAACTTTTATAATTCGGTGATTAAATCCCAGTTAATTTGTAAGACTGAATTTGCGCGCAGATCCAATCTACGGTTTCTTCCGAATACCGTTGATTCATTTTAAATAAATTACGACCAACTGAATTAAACTTTGAATAGGGAAAATTGGAAAGTTATAGAATGCGACCTGGATCGATTATTATTTGATAAAATTTTTTATTACGTCAAAGAAATATACAATATTTATCTTATGAACTGATTTTTCGTTTAACCAGTGACACACACCTCGTTACGATATCTCGCTTTTTTGTTTTAAACTTCGAAAATAGCGTTCGTAAAAAATTACTTAATATATACAATAAAAGAATGAGATATGAATCGTAGCAGGAAGCGGATAAGACTGATTTAAACAGCGTGATTCTTGATCCAATCGAGGAATTGTTTAACTCGTGTGTACACAGTGGGGTAGGAAGTACTGGCGCAACCGTTCGCCCATGATACCAAACCGGTGAGTTTGCCACCAACGGTCAATGGGCCGCCGGAGTCACCCTAGAAGCAAAGAAGTTTAAAATTTTTTTACTGATGTGAGCAAAATTATATTGCGTGGCGAAAGTATTCGTGATATGCGAGTTGCACTCTGTAAATTTCGTTTCATGCTTTCTTTGTGTTGCTTCGAGCATACTGCATTTCACGTGCAACGTGTTAAGGGAGACTGCAACTTACGCATCGCCATGGTAAAGATATCACGAGGATGCGAACGAGTTTTGGAGGATGAAGAAACTTACGTGGCAGGATCCCCTCGAGGTGGTTGGGTCGTAGGCGCAAACTTGTGTGGTGTGGACGTTGTATCCCATGTTTCCGTACTTGTTTTTGCAGTAGTCCTGGTCAGCAATGAAAATGGCGGCTTTTTGCAGTTTGTTAGTAGTGGGTCCATTTTCCTATAATTTTGTCACAATACATAACGTAACTGTCACTCACGTACACGCGTCGACTTCTCCCGTGCGTTTCCACACGAGTAATAAATACTGAGTGATCGCGTATGATTATTAATCGTAGTCGATTTCCTAATAATTTGCATACGAAAGATACAGATTGAACTCAAGACTCACCCAGAGTCTGCCCCATCCGGAAACAATAGCTACGTCATTGGCTCCTACTTCGTCGTCTTCCGATGGTAGAGGAACTTTGGAGATGTATTCAGATATGACGAATGGATTTTTCACCTGCAATACAATCTCGATGTGAATATCCTTCGCTGAAGATAATGTTGTAAAGTTTGACGGGTGCAATTTTCTTGCGTGAAAAGAAGGAACATTCATATGCGGTCTTACCCTCAGCAGAGCGATGTCATTCCTCCAAGAATCTGAAGGATTATAACTCTCATGAGTGATAATCTCCTCGACTTCGTGCGTAGATCTCGGGTTGTTCAGGTCGACAGTGCCAGCGACGACTTTAATATCGTTAGCCGATTTACTGTAACATACAAATTTTATTGTATAAATTTGAATATTTACTCAAACATATATTTTTTAAGACGAATTAATATGAATGTCACAAAATACATAACAGCAAGATTTCTATAGCTTTAATGTAATGATATTTTGAATAATATTAGATAATTATGATAGGAGGCATGTAAAATAAATGATAACATACTCAACAACGCAGTGGCTTGCCGTAATAACATATTTCTCGTTTAGAACCGATCCGCCGCAGAAGTGGAAGTCGCTGTACGAGGTTTGTAGGGAAACCTATCGAGAGAATGGCATTACAGTATATGCATGATTTTAGAATAATTTAAGGTAATTTTAAACTTGCCCTTACAAATGCGCGCGACACAGGTGAACAGTTTATAATGTAACTTTTTATTATAATAATTAACGAATATGTACTTTTGTCAATGTATACCTGATACGGGATCTCGCCTAGTTCAGCATCTTCTCCGTTTACGATTCTGGGATCGATGAATGTCTCAAGAAACCTGGCTGCAAAGCCAATGACAAAAATTAACGGTGAAAGTTAAATGATTTTTCTAGATAAATCGAAATTCAAATTGAACAGTAACCCATTCTTCATATATATATTTGCATGTTTTCAAAGTAAATTAATAAATTTGGCCTATATATAGTCATTTGACAAAATGTAAAACTATGAAATACAATTTCCCCATTAATTTAATTTGATTAATATTTAATAACTGGATTTTTAAGATGTCGACAAAGGAGGACAAATAATGATTAAAGTCATCTGTTGAGACAATATAATTTGCCAAAATGAATTCTCTATCGTTAAACTACCCTTAAGATATAAAGGGAAATGTGTCAATTTTGTATTCGTTTAAATGAAAGCTTACCAATGTTAAATAAATAATTATTTGCTGGAGAAGGTAATCACTCACCTTGAGAAAGCGCGATGAGGCTCAGGAGAGACAAGACTATCAACGCCATGATTGTGTTCGATGACTATGTACGACACTGTTACAATCGCGTTAATACGCTGAATTTATATAGTCTCAAGTCAAACGCTTCCGTAAAAGGCAAACCAATGAGTAATGAGTTTTTTCGCAAATGGGAGATTAGATAAATCGATAATGGGATATTATATCGAGTATGTTTAATCAGAATTTGATAAAGACTGTTAAAATCAATTGACTTGACAAGAATATAATATTACTACAACGATATTTTACTTGGAATTTCTTATTTCAGTTAATCGCGATATTGTGAACTCGAATTTCATTTTATAGCCTTCTCGTAAAAGTATTCGAATCAATAATAATTATATTCAGTGCATCTTTTTATTCGCATTATTGCATTCTTTTTATAAGATTTGTGTAACTTGTATGACATCCAAACTAGGATATCATACAAGTTATACAAATAACATGTTTTCTTTCTGTACTCATGATTAGAGTAAGTAAATTAAATGAATATTAAAATACAAATTAAATAAATATTAGAATATAGAATACAAAACAAATACTGCATTATACATCTTAAATTAAAGCTACAAGTCAAAAATAGATTAAATCCACAACAGATGCTTCTATTGAACTCCGAAGTGCATTGTTTCTTTTATCATATAAACATTAGAAAAATAGGTCTTGTTAACTTTGCTTCGTGAAATGATAAGCGAGATTTGGGTTTTCCCGTATCTTCTAATCTGGTCTGATGAGTCTTCTTGCACTTAGCACAGTTTATCACTTAATTAAATGTGTAATCAGATCACAGTGTTTTATAATATAATCCCTGGAAATATTAAGTTTTTATGATTCTAAGATTTAATACTCACACAAACTCTTGTATATATAAATAAATAAATATTAAGTATAACAGTTTAATAACAATACTTTTTGGCATATTTTTTGCTGAAAAGTACACAGCTTTGTTAACATTTGGAAAGTGCTACGTCGGATAACAGATTCATTGAATTATTTTAAATATTACATTTACTGGAAATTCTCGCTTTTTGTACAAGCTTTCGACGCAGGAATGTTCGTATTGTCTCATGACAAACATGTGATAATAACAGAAAAGAATTCGTTGAGAAATTTTTCATTTCGAAATAATTATCTCGATGGTCCAGTTACGTGTACTACTAGGTAGAACTTAAATACGTCTTATTAAAAATCCGACGCTCGCGGCACCAATTTCGACGATGGCGTCTCACTCGAGACAAAGTTTCGACAATCCTAGTAGTCCGTAATTTTTACATTTTTCATCGTGGAATCCTGACGAGCCGTCGCATAGAGAGAAGCAGAGGGAGAGAAGGAAAGAGAAAGAGACGGAGAAGGATGGAAAGGGTGAAGAGGTGAACGATCGATGGTCCAGGAACGGCCGCAGGGAACTAATGTTTCAGGATTCACCTGAGACCGACGACCCCGTGCTGTGACCGTATAATCGGTCGTACAGATGATCAAAGGTTTAGCTATCGAGATCAACGATATTTTACGTGTGCTTACTGTATTATTCGTCTACACAAAGAGAATATTTTAGTTCCTTTTTTTTTCTTACTAATTCTTTCTAATTTTATTATGTTTTTAGTGGGAATTTTTTTATGAGTAGATTTTCAGTGAAGTATAAGAAATATAGTAAATATAGTAAATTTTGCTAGAAAAATACAACAGATTTCGTAAAAAATATGGCAAGCATTTTAATAATATGTTTTAATTCTTAAAATATAAATAGTATATGAAATGAAAGTATAATAAATTACTAGTTTAGTATATTATATAATAATATAATATATAATATAATATACTATATATAATAACTACTATAAAATTCTCTACGTACAGCTTATGTTAAATTTCGTGAATACGTGAGGGACGTGCCAGAGACGGTTTTTGTAATTAGTGTGTGGAATTCTTTAATTTTTCGACAAGTTTATAGTTATCAACAATGTTTATGACAATTTTTAAAATTATGTATAGTTCTGTGTCTAGCTATAATGTCTAGCTATATTTAGCCACGTTTTTTACTTTTATCGCCTGAGCAATCCAAATTCCTGAAAACATTATCTTAGTTGTTGTTCTTGTTTATCTTCTGATATTTCAATCTCAGATTAAGATTTGCATCCGGATATTATTTTAAATATCTAGTCTGATAAACATAATAAATTCTAAACATGCCAAATATTGTTAACATTTAGATTGTGAGAGCTCTAACTCATTGGCACCTTTAAAAATGATCAAACACGCTCGTAACAGATCTTATAAAGTCACGAGTTAAATTACAGGAATTTCTATATACATCCGATGTTTAAGCTGCATCGTTGTTGATGATACACGTCAAGTTTCTACCGTTATATCATGAGTGTTTATTTATACTGTAGAATTTACATTTAATCACGACGTTATCTCTGTTAGATCGTAGCTATATATTTGTCAGAAATGTTTGGCCCGACCGGGAAGTATTCTCGGCCATGCGTGAGACAACAATATCTGTTTAATAACACACACTTGAAGTGTACCAATGCATATCGAAAAAGGACTTCTAAATTGAACGTTACTCAGATAGTATTATCTTAAGTGTTATTTTAAGTATGTCATCTTATCTTCTTTCTCCCTTTCTCTCTCTCTCTCTCTCTCTCTCTTTCTTTCTAATTCCGCTTACTGCTAATAATTTTCGAAAATTAGTACTTGTTGGGATATTTTCGAAAATTATTTATACTAATATGTAGTAATTTTGCCTGCAATTTAGAACTTATTAATAAAAAATGTAGATGGCAACGATAGATATTTTAATTGGAACATTATCATTGTGTAAGAAGTTAATATGAGCTATAAATTAGTATGACGGTATCTGAGATGAGGTAAATGTGAAAGGAAATGCGATGCAGACGAAGGAAATTATATTATTGTGTCGCTTTATTCTTTCAGACTCGGCATGTAAATCTTCATTTCGCGAATACTCGCGCACAGAGACACATTACGAACGTATCTCGTTTGCGCGGGACGATTTATTTCCTTATGTCGGCAGAGTTTGCAGCCGCATGTATTATTCAGGAGCACCTCTTTCGGGATATCGGTTGTCGCGAGACCGCAGATGGTATAAAAGGGTCAAAGCTTGTCCGAAGAGAACAACGACGAGCGCTTTCTGCACGCGCGTTCGAGGGAATCCGAGAACACAGTTTTTCCTTCCGCGCGTAAAATCGCCAAGATTTTCAAACAAATCGTATGCTCTCAAAGAACGGGGAGATTTACGGGAATGAGAGGGAGGGAAGGACAGTGAAACACTGTGCATTTTTCCGACTCGTTGCATATTATTTATGCTGAAAACCCGCTTACATAAATTCCGTGTTACAAGCGCGCGAATTAAAATACCATCGGAGACTCCGAAGTAACGAACGACCGTATTGTGCATTCGCCGATACGTGAGCATACATTTCATCGGAATTAACACCGCGTGTGAATAAAACGCGAAAGTGTTATTTTAAGTTACTCGCCTCCGAAAGATAGAACGATAAAGAGCGGCATAAATAAAGAACTCTGCATGTTTCACAAGAAAGATAGACGGCACAAAGAGGCGACTGTTTGTCTCGATGCATTATTTCGCCGCGCGAATCCATCAGCGATAGACCAGCGCGAATTAAGGTCGCGTTGGTGATCGTAGCTGCAATTGCAGCGCAGTAAATATGCTTATCAACTGTCAGAACGTCGTGTCTTAGTTACGGAGAGATAGCGATTAACTTGACGTTATTTCGCGATTTTCTTAACAATTGCGCGATTTATCGGGGTACGTTGAACTTTGACAATGCACTCTCGAGCTCTCAAGCGATCTCGACGGAAATGGCTTTAACGCGCGTCGTTCTTTCGCTCTTGCTCCACACTCTCGGCTTGCCGTCGGGGAAGTAACAGCAGCGGCTGTGTTACGACGCTATGCGCATGACCCGCCGCGAGATAAAAGAGCATCGATTGCCAGGTTGTGTAAGGCCTCTGATCTGTCTCGTGTCGATGCCACTAATTAACGCTCGGCGTCACGGTCGTAATTTTATTTCATTTACAATTTTGATACGGCGCATACTGGTCTCCTCTTTACTTTTTTGTTCCATCCTCGGCAGCAGGAATAGTGTGCCCGCAAGATTAAATTCTTCCTTTATTAAAACTGCATTAACTGACAATGGTGATCTTCAAAGTGGTGGTTTATCTGCTCCTGAATTACTTATTTAACTAATAACGCGTTAATAACACTGAACAAATGACTTTTTTATTTGCCTTAAAGTCTGATATTTTTTGTAGGTTTTTAGTAGGCTGAAATCTGGATGTAAAATGTCTCTATTTCGAGAAAGGGACATGCAAGAATTCTTGAAATCTTAACGTGATAGAGATATTTTGCGCCTTCATTTTCGTGTTCAACAGTAAAAAATCTATAAGAAATAATTTTTTTTTATTTTCTACAAAACATAATATTCAAATTTCAAGCAAATTTGGTGTTGCTTAATATAATTGTCCGAAACGTGTGAATCGACCAGTCAATCAATAAATGTCCGATTTATTAGATTTACAATTCTGCGTTTTACGATACGTACGGTTTTGCACGCGGCAAATTTTCGGTCGCGCATTCCTGAATTTACCGATCAATACTGTGCATTTAAAAATACGCAGAGAAGCGTTATTGGCTCGCTCGAATTGCCGATACATGGCGAAAATGTCGAGTTGTGCACTTTCGAGGCCGAGTTACATCGCCTCTTTTCGAATGATAACTGAGTCTGTTAGTTCGACTAATATAGACGATCGATAGATTTATTAGTGTTTGCCACAACTGTACTATGTATATTTATTGAAGTAATACAACATTAATTTCGCAGCCGTGGCCGGTGCGCGAGCAAATAAAAGAGTTCGCGGCAAATCAACAAGTATTTCTTCGCGCGCGGAAACCTTTGTTAGCGAATTTCGTGCTCGCTCGACCGTCGAGATATTGTTTATAACGCGGCTGACGAGATAATACGCGACATTGAAGTCGTCTTATTACAGTTGGCGCGCTAACGGCTGCCGGGCTGAACGATGCTTTTTAATGGCTCGCTTAAAAAGTTACGAAACGTTGCTCCTAATGTAAGCTGTACC